GTCCTGACATTATTTCAAATCACCATTTTTCAAGCTCATTTATTGTTTCCACTTCTTAAATCTAAACGGTCGATGTTTTCCATGTAGGAAATGTTACCATACTTTATTCATGTTCATAAGGTGTTTATATGGATTGCAAGGAGTGTCGAGATTTGTAGCAAGAAGTGGCAATCATATTGTCACCAGTCTACATGTTGATAAAAAATTAATGGTTTGTTTAATTTTTTTCAGGCAGAAAAAAGACAAGCAAGAGGCAAGCTGGTGAGACATTAATAGACATGGACTGCGTTCTTTGGAGGAGAGTCTGGATTTAGAGGACAACAGCATCACAGTCTAGGAATTACAACTGGTTTGGTATGTAGGAGTAATTTGTTTTGTATAGCTACCCTACTTCATTACAGAGACTTGGTTTTACGTCACTCTGTCTATTACCAGCTTGGGAGATCACTAAGGGTGCTTTCCATTTGTCAGTAACTGACTGGCCAGACCATTCCCATTGCAATTCGAGAATTTCACTTTTAATCAAACTATTCAGTCAAATGCTAAATACAGTCAATTCTTGTTCTAGCGGACACTGCAGGGACCTAAAGTTAGTGTCTTCATTACTGAGAGTTGGTTATAGTGAAAAGTTTAATGTGGCTAAATGTAATTTAGGCAAAGTGAAATTGCAAGCCAGCGGTCAGCGATCTCCTCCTCAAGCGTACGTGATCTGTGGGGTGATGGCAGGGCCTATTGCTTATCTTGTGACTTACGTTGCATCTCATGCTGGCATTTTTGAGCTGATCTATGCGGATCTGTTGTTTAAGCGAATCTTTGCGGATTCTGGCTCCCGGCCCATCTCACCCCTTTAGTGCATTGGTAAGTATGGGGTCAGGTGAGTATTTTCCACTGAAGTCTTTCAGTGTGACAGTGCCAGTTGACAGCTGCATGCAGGGGTGCATCCTGCTTGCAGGGTTGCCATGGATACCTTCATGCTATGCCTGAGGCGCCTACGCTCCCGTCCAACTTTCAAGGCACCACTTCCCAAGCTCATCTATTGGCAATGGGTTTAATTTCAGACAAAACATCTGTAATTCATTTTTGCCTGTGATTTTGCTGCTATCCATATTATCGGGGTGTGCATTATAGCAGGGTGTCTGTAAGGCAAGAAGGAGATGATTTTTCAGCAAAAACTCTTTGTAAAAGTTCTGTTTCATTGTCAAAATGACCAGTCTGGCCAAGGTCCAGCCAGCCAGTTCTGACTTTTGGAAAGCACTCTGAGTGTGGGGTTAAGTTGGCTCAGGGTTTTTCTCTGATAAGAAGTGGACATTTGCGGTGGTTATAATCACCCAGCTGTTGTTGTACAGCCATTTTTTTATTAGTAATTGGTGGCAAACTGGCTGAGCAGGAGTGGATAATTAAGTATTTGTTATTATTAATATTATTATTATTATTATTATTATTATTACTATCTATAAAAATTAGTGCTTTTTTTANCATTTTTGCATTGGGTGTATATTATCAGGGTGTGCATTATAGCAGGGTGTCTGTAAGGCAAGAAGGAGATGATTTTTCAGCAAAAACTCTTTGTAAAAGTTCTGTTTCATTGTCAAAATGTCCAGTCTGGCCAAGGTCCAGCCAGCCTTTTCTGACTTTTGGAAAGCACTCTGAGTGTGGGGTTAAGCTGGCTCAGGGTTTTTCTCTGATAAGAAGTGGACATTTGCAGTGGTTATAATCACCCAGCTGTTGTTGTACAGCCTTTTTTTTATAAGTAATTGGTGGGAAACTGGCTGAGCAGGAGTGGATAATTAAGTTTTTGCTATTATTAATATTATTATTATTATTATTATTATTATTATTACTATCTGATTATTATTATTATTATTACTTTCTGATTAACTTAAAAAAATATTGTTTTTTTTTAGATAGATCATAGTCATCACAAGCTAAAGTAAAGTTGTTATCAGATCACAAAATTTAAAAATTACGAAAGTATAAAAAGATAATACTGCAGGCAATTCTTTTTGTTAAAAATTTTTAATGAATTTTGAAAAGAAGCAAGACTTCATTTATTTATTTTGCTAGGAAACGTTTTTTGGAGAAAAATAGACATCCGTGAATAGGTACTGTAGGGAGACTAGTTCTTCCTTTCTGCCTGACAGTCAAATGTACCTGTATAATTTCTTGTATCTCTGGCCATTTAACAGAACCCCTCCCACGTGGTGATGTTCCAGGAGATTCTTTGCCCATCACAAGTTGGATATCAAAAATATTTCTTCAATTAAAGGGATGACATCTCAAGAAGCAGAGGTCACGGTCCTCCATTGGTTTTTTCTGGCATTTCAGGTATCAGTTTTTGTCACTTTCTTAACTGTTATGAGACTACTACATTTTGGGTAGGATTTTTCCAGAGGTACACACAATTCTAAATCCCACTGTTCCCCCGTTTAAAGTATCAAATCTTTTTCAGGCTCCTTGATTAAATTATCCCACTCATCCCACCCATCCAACTTATTCCAGTCATCCTATTCATCCTACATGTAGTTATCCAAGCCAATCCAAGCGTCCCAGTGAACCCAGTAGTCCCAGTCATCGTAGTCATTTTAGTCATCCAAGTCACCCAAGTCACTCCTGTCATCCCATTTTCCCAGTCATCCCAGTCATTCTAGTCTCACCTGTCATCCCTGCCACCCTAGTTATGCCAGTCAACCCAGTCATCCCAGTCTTTTTAGTCATTGTAATTATCCCACCCACCCTGGCTGTCCTAGTCAATGTGTTCACCACTGTCCCAGTCAACCCATTCATCCTTGTCATCCCAGTCTCTGTAGTCATCTTAGTTATCCTAGCCATCTCCCATTCATCCCTGTTATTTGACATATCCCTGGCATCAGAGTTATCCCAGTCACCCTAGTCATCTCAGTTATCTCATCACCCCATTCATCCTAGTCACCCCAGTAATTTTACTTTTCTGTTTCATCACAATCGTCCCTGTCACCCATTATCACAATAAACCAAGTTATCCTATTCGTTGTAGTCTTGCCAGTTGTCCCAGTTGTTGTAGTCATGCAGTCATCCCAGGCATCCCAGGCATCCCAGTCTTTCAAGTCATCTCATTAATATTCATCCTAATCATGCAAGTCATTCCAGTCATCCAAAGCATCCCAGTCATCCTAGTTATCTCAGTCATCTCAGCCATCCAACTCATGTCATTATTATTCATCCTTTTCATCCTAATCATGGAAATTATCCCAATCATCCTGGTTATCTCAGTTATCCTAGTAACCCTAGTCATCCAAGTCATCCTAGTATCCCACTCATTCCACTCATCCCAGTCATCTTAGTCATTCCCTTCATTCTTGTCATCCTAGTCATTCCAATCATTCCAGGGGTTCAAATCATTTCAGTCATTCTAGCCATTCTAGTCATCCTTTTCATCCCAGTCATTCCAGGCACCCTTGTCATCTCAGTTATCTCATCATCCTAGTTATCCCAATTTTTCTAGTTATCCCCATTATCACAGTCATCCCAGTCACCTAGTAAGTCATCCTAATCATCCAAGTCACTCCTGTAATCCCTGTAACCCCATTTATCCTAGTCAACCTATAGTCCTCCTCTCCATCCCAGTGATCCTAGTCTTTCCAGTCATCCCAGTCACTCCAGTTAATTACAAGAATTGAAAGGACACAGAGGCATACTACTAAATATATTCTCAAATTGCCTTTTTCCTGCACAATTTCTTACATGAATAGACTTAAATCTTTGGATCTGCTTCCATTAACATTCAGGCACAAGTATCTAGATATAGTGTTTTTTTTTTCAAAATCGTCCATGGTCTTGTATCGGTAGAGCCATCAATAAAATTATTCCTAAAGCTCGCATCACAAGGCCTACCAGATCTTCATCTAGTGGTGTTATTAAATTTGTAGTGCCTGAATGTCAGGCAGCAACTTATCAAAAGTCCTATTAATATCATCAGATGCATACGCGTCTGGCACATTGTTGCTGATGAGCTGAACCTGTGCATGAATGCCCTGAACGATTTTAAACAGGCAATGGTAGAGTATTACAAAACTGCCTTCTTAAGACATCCAACAGTTGGACAACAAATCAAACAAGAAAAATCGGACAAGAAATCGGACAAAAAATGGGACGAGGTCAGGCAACAAATTGGACAATAAATCGGACAAAAAAAGGACTAAAAATTGAATAAAATCGGACAAAAAACTGGACAAGAAAATCAGACGAATAATCGGACAAAAAAAGTGGACAGTAAAAACTGGACAAGAAATTGAACAAAAAATCCAAAGAAAAATCGCACATGGAACGTGGGTCATCGGACAATGGACATCAGACATCGGACATCTGTCATCAGGCATCGAAAATCGGACATCAGCCATCGGACATTGGACACCGGACATCAGATATCAGACATCGGACATCAGACTTTGAAAATCAGACATTTGACATAAGACATGGGATATAGAACATGAAACATAAGACATCCGACTTAAGACATCAGAAATCGGACATAAGACATCAGACATCCAACAGTCATATAAGAAATCGGACAAGAAATCGAACAAAAAATCAGACAAGATATCGAACAAAAAATCGGACCAAAAATTGGACAAAAAAAATAAGATGAAAAATGTACCAAATATCGGACAAAATATCTTACAAGAAATCAGAGGAGTTGAACAAAAAATCGGACAAACAAGCAGACAAGCAATTGGACAAGAAGTCTGACAATAAAATGGGACATCAGACATCAAAAATTGGTCCTTGGACATTAGGCATCAGACATTGGACATGGGACTGCGGACATGGAACATCAGACATTAGACATTGGAGATAAGACATCAGACATCAGATATTGGACATAAGACATCAGACATCCGACAGTTGGACAAGAAATCAGACCAAAAATATCGGACAAAAACTCAGGCAAAAAACATGGGACAAGAAATCTGACAAAAAATCTGACAAAAAAATGGGAAAGCAGATCAGGCAATAAATCTTACAAGAAAGCGGACAAAAAATTGGACAAGAAATTAGACAATAAATTGGGCAAAAAATCAGAGAAAAAAAATCAGATGAGAAATCGGACAAAAAAATATTGGACAAAAAATTGGACAAAAAAGTGAACAAAAAATCAGACCAAAAAAAAACATCGAACAAAAAATCAAACAAAAAAATCGGACCCCAAAATTGGACAAAAAATGGGAAAAAAAATCGGGTTAAATATCTTACAAGAAATTGGACAAAAAAAATGAACAAGAAATCGTAAGAAAACATTGGAGAAGAAATTGAACAAACAATCAGACAAACAATCAGACAAAAAGTCAGACATGAAATTGGACAAAAAATCGGAGGAAATATTGGTCAAAAAGTCGGAGAGGAATTTGGACAAGAAATCGGACAAAAAAAATCCAACAAAAAATGGGGAAAGAAATCAGACAAAAATGGGACAAAAAATTGGCCAAAAATATCTGTCAAAAAGTAGACAAAAAGTTGGTTCGAAAAATTGAACAAAACATCGGAGAAGAAATAAGGCAAAAAAGTGGAGAAGAACAATCCTTAATCCTTTGTAGGGTTTCTCAGGATAAACTGAATAAAAACAGTCGAATTGGTAAGGTTAGCAAAATCAGGTAATATACTCCATTGTCTGCCAACATGTCAAGTGTGGGGCTAAAGACTCAAGCTTCCTACGAAGAGTAAGTGCGAATGAGTTAGAGAGTGCATCCATAAGCAACATAAACATCACTGTAGTCAATAAATCTACTTCTCCCCAACGTGACTTTCAAAATTGGTGCAAAAAGTAGTGCTGCCAATCTTCTGCAAGTTGCAGAAAGTTTCGACAGGTTCTTTGAAGATCCAGGGTTAGTTGTCATGACAACCAATGTTCTGTTCACAGTAAACCCAATGTTTTATTTTTTAACAAGAGCCATAATGGGGCTCTTGTTTCCAAAATGTGCTTCTGCCATTTTTGCTTATCAGTCATCCTATATCATCATGTGAAATGCTGGAAATTCAATGGTCACAGCATGCCTATTGTGCACTCACACTGATAAATCTGCCTCCATTTGTTCCTAGAGTCAATTTAATAAAACTTTTACAAGTGTAATTTAAAAGTGTAGCAGTTGTTTTAGTGTCAGAAAACAAAAGCTACAATTGTAAATTAATGATAAATGTTAAATGCTTGTGCCATGGCCAATGAATAGTAAAGAAACTTACAAAATATCAGTGCACTTGCAGAACTCTTGCACATGCAGAAATTTTGAGATGTAATCAACTTTTCATTGCGCATGCAGAAAATTGTTGGTAGTTGTTTTGGCTAATTTTCTGATATCCTCAATTTCGCTGCCTCTTCGTTTAGTGTTTCGGCTACTTTTATAGAAAGGTAAATACAACAAAGCGTTTTTCTAATAGTACATTAAAACTCACAGACTCAAGTCTCTGATTGGAATCCTTGAAAAAATATCCTTGAATTTTTTGTTCAAAACAAGGTGCAACCCCCCCCCCCCCAACTGCAACCTAGTCATTCCTGGCATTCTAGTTATCCCTGTTATCCTCTTGTCCTAGTTATTCTAGTTATAGTCATCCCGGTCATCCTTGTTATCTCAGTTATCCCAGTAACCCTAGTCATCCGAGTCGTCCTATTATCCTACTCATTCCGGTCACTCTAGTCATCTCAGTCACTCCAGTTATCCCAGTCACCCCAGTTAACCCAGTCATTTCAGTCATCCTACTCATCCTATTCATCCCAGTCATACCAGATACCCTAGTCATGTTAGTTATCTCATCACCCTAGTTATCCTAGTCACCCCAGTTCTTCTACTTATTCTTTCCATCACAGTCACTTATCCCAATCATCCCAGTAACCCTAGTCATCACAGTAATTCTACCTATCCTTTCATCTCAGTCACTCCTGTCATCCTTATCATCCTAGTTATTCTAGTCATTCCAGCAGCATAAATCATCCCAGTCATCCTGGTTATCTCTCAGTTATCTCAGTCATCCAAGTCATCCTAGTCATCACAGTTTTTCTAGTTATCCCTGTCATCCTAGTTATCCCAGTCATCCCAGTCACCTAAGTCATCCTAATCATCTTAGTCATCCCAGTCATCTGTGTCACCTCAGTCATCCCAGTCAACCCAGTCCTCCTAGTCATCTCAGTAATCTTAGTCCTCCTAGTCATTCCAGTCATCCATATCATTCCCAGTCATCCCAGTCACTTCAGCCATCCTATATCCTAGTCTTCACAATTATTGCATTCACCCTTGCCATCCTAATCATCCAATTCATCCTGGTCACCCCAGTCATCTTATTCATCTCATTTAACCCAGTTACTCCAGTCATCCCAGTTATCTTAGTCATTCAAGTCACCCTAGTTACATCATTAGTTGTCTTAATCATTGCAGTCTTTTTTAGGGATGCACATGTGCACCATGTGTTCAGGTAGCTACACCCCTCCTATAAAGTCATTTACATTTGTGACTCAATCTTAGACATTGAACTAAAAAAATCCCTGTACATGTCAAAAGTCAGCAAGTAGTCATAAATAAGTTAACAATTGAGTGATAATGAATTCTCTTTTTTTTCTCAGGCTGAAAAGAAGAGCAGATTTGGCAAACTGGTGAACAGTTCATCAATAGCAGGAGTTCAAAAGCCAACAGTGGAGAGGCTGGTATCATCAAAGTCAACTCATTATTAATACCTAGTTTAGTATTTATATAATCATATAATTTATTACTTACGGTTACCACCAGTACCCTGCCTCAACACAGGTACTGGGTTTTAGAATATTTCTGACCCAGCCCGGGAGGTCATTGAATGCGGGGTACAGCTGGCCCGGGGTTTTCCTCCTAGGAGCAAGTGGACGTACGGGGAGGTTTAAGTATGGGGTCAGGTGAGTATTTTCCACTGAAGTCTTTCAGTGTGACAGTGCCAGTTGACAGCTGCATGCAGGGGTGCATCCTGCTTGCAGGGTTGCCATGGATACCTTCATGCTATGCCTGAGGCGCCTAGGCTCCCGTCCAACTTTCAAGGCACCACTTCCCAAGCTCATCTATTGGCAATGGGTTTAATTTCAGACAAAACATCTGTAATTCATTTTTGCCTGTGATTTTGCTGCTATCCATATTATCGGGGTGTGCATTATAGCAGGGTGTCTGTAAGGCAAGAAGGAGATGATTTTTCAGCAAAAACTCTTTGTAAAAGTTCTGTTTCATTGTCAAAATGACCAGTCTGGCCAAGGTCCAGCCAGCCAGTTCTGACTTTTGGAAAGCACTCTGAGTGTGGGGTTAAGTTGGCTCAGGGTTTTTCTCTGATAAGAAGTGGACATTTGCGGTGGTTATAATCACCCAGCTGTTGTTGTACAGCCATTTTTTTATTAGTAATTGGTGGCAAACTGGCTGAGCAGGAGTGGATAATTAAGTATTTGTTATTATTAATATTATTATTATTATTATTATTATTATTACTATCTATAAAAATTAGTGCTTTTTTTAGATAGATCATAGTCATCACAAGCCAAAGTAAAGCTGTTATCAGATCACAAAATTTACAAATTACGAAAGTATAAAAAGATAATACTGCAGGCAATTCTTTTCGTTAAAAATTTTTTAATGAATTTTGAAAAGAAGCAAGACTTCATTTATTTATTTTGTTAGGAAACATTTTTTGCAGAAAAATAGACATCCATGTATAGGTACTGTAGGGAGACCAATTCTTCCTTTCTACCTGACAGTCAAATTTACCTGTATAATTTCTTGTATCTCTGGCCATTTAACAGGACCCCTCCCACTTGGTGATGTTCCAGGAGATTCTTTGCCCATCACAAGATGGATATCAAAAATATTTCTTCAATTAAAGGGATAACATCTCAAGAAGCAGAGGGATCGTGGTCCTCCATTGGTTTTTTCTGGCATTTCAGGTATCAGTTTTTTGTCACTTTCTTACCTGTTATGAGACTACTACATTTTGTTTAGGATTTTTCCAGAGGTACACACAATTCCAAATCCCACTGTTCCCCCGTTTAAAGTATCAAATCTTTTTCAGGCTCGTTGATTAAATTATCCCACTCATCCCACCCATCCAACTTATTCCAGTCATCCTATTCATCCTACATGTAGTTATCCAAGCCAATCCAAGCGTCCTAGTGAACCCAGTAGTCCCAGTCATCGCAGTCATTTTAGTCATCCAATTCACCCAAGTCACTCCTGTCACCCCATTTTCCCAGTCATCCCAGTCAGTCTAGTCTCACCTGTCATCCCTGCCACCCTAGTTATGCCAGTCAACCCAGTCATCCCAGTCTTTTCAGTCATTGTAATTATCCACCCTCCCTAGCTGTCCTAGTCAATGAGGTCACCACTGTCCCAGTCAACCCATTCATCCTTGTCATCCCAGTCTCTGTAGTCATCATAGTTATCCCAGCCATCTCCCATTCATCTCTGTTATTCAACATATCCCTGTCAACAGAGTTATCCAAGTCACCCTAGTCATCTCAGTTATCTCATCACCCCATTCATCCTAGTCACCCCAGTAATTTTACTTTTCTGTTTCATCACAATCGTCCCTGTCACCCATTATCACAATAAACCAAGTTATCCTATTCATTGTAGTCTTGCCAGTTGTCCCAGTTGTTGTAGTCATGCAGTCATCCCAGGCATCCCAGGCATCCCAGTCTTTCAAGTCATCTCATTAATATTCATCCTAATCATGCAAGTCATTCCAGTCATCCAAAGCATCCCAGTCATCCTAGTTATCTCAGTCATCTCAGCCATCCAACTCATGTCATTATTATTCATCCTTTTCATCCTAATCATGGAAATTATCCCAATCATCCTGGTTATCTCAGTTATCCTAGTAACCCTAGTCATCCAAGTCATCCTAGTATCCCACTCATTCCACTCATCCCAGTCATCTTAGTCATTCCCTTCATTCTTGTCATCCTAGTCATTCCAATCATTCCAGGGGTTCAAATCATTTCAGTCATTCTAGCCATTCTAGTCATCCTTTTCATCCCAGTCATTCCAGGCACCCTTGTCATCTCAGTTATCTCATCATCCTAGTTATCCCAATTTTTCTAGTTATCCCCATTATCACAGTCATCCCAGTCACCTAGTAAGTCATCCTAATCATCCAAGTCACTCCTGTAATCCCTGTAACCCCATTTATCCTAGTCAACCTATAGTCCTCCTCTCCATCCCAGTGATCCTAGTCTTTCCAGTCATCCCAGTTATCCAAGTCATCCCAGTCACTCCAGTTAATTACAAGAACTGAAAGGACACAGAGGCATACTACTAAATATATTCTCAAATTGCCTTTTTCCTGCACAACTTCTTACATGAATAGACTTAAATCTTTGGATCTGCTCCTATTAACATTCTGGCACGAGTATCTAGATGTG